CAGGTGTGCGCCGCCATGCCTGGCTAATTGTAAAAAAAATTTTGTAGAGATGGGGTCTTGCTATATTGCCCAGCCTGATCTTGAACTCCGGGCCTCAAGTGATCCTCGTGCCTTGGCCTCCCAAAGTTCTTGGATTATAGGCATGTGCCACCAAGCCCAACTTTAGGAGTGCCCAGCTTTAGAAGTGCTTTCTATTATAAAAAGCTGCTTCTCAGGTTAAAACAGCCACCCATCTGTGTTTCTTGTCTCCAGTTCAGTTTTGGGTCACGTGGACTCTGATTTTGTGCAGCGGGTGGTAGGTTTAGTGCATAGTAATGGCGATGTTAGATTTTTCTGACAAGTAATGGGGCAGTTCAGCACACAGGCACCTAGCAAGTGTGGTCCCTGCCTTTCATATGTCCACATTCCAGGAGTGTGGTGAGATGTTGCCAAGCCAGAGACCATGTTCAGGGCACAGAGCGTGGGCTCAGAGGGCAGGCTCACTAGCCTGTGTGCAAGGAGGGCAGCTTGCTTTTGGGGAGAGGAGGAACCAGGAGAGGCGAGGGCAGGGCAGAGGTGTTTGTGAGGCTCTGCAGAAGCTGTGGTTGGCTGGGACCCCTGGGCCATGGGAGGGGGCCTAAGGCTTGGGGCTCCGAGGAGTCATATGCAGGTGTCTGGATGAGATGGGGCCCCCAGCCCTGGGCTGGCACCTGGAGAGAATGTCAGGGCTTGACAAAGGCGTCTGTCCAAACCATCAGATGCATCTGATAGTGAGATGAGTGGACAGTGGAGATAGCCTTTCTTAGATTCCCACGGACAGCTTCCCCCGGCTTGCCTTTGGCCCCCTGAAAGGACTGTTTCTTTCACTTTTTTTTTTTTGACACGGAATCTTGCTCTGTCAACCAGGAACACAGTGGTCCAATCTCGGCTCACTGCAACCTCTACCTCCCAGGTTCAAGTGATTCTCCTGCTTCAGCCTCCTGAATAGCTGGGACTATATTTGTGTACCACCACACCTGGCTAATTTTTTTTTTTTTTAAATCAGAGACAAGTTTCACCATGTTGGCCAGGCTAGACTTGAACTCCTGACCTCAGGTGATCTGCCCCGCTATAGGCCTTCCAGAGTGCTGGGATTACAAGGGTGAACCGCTGTGCCTGGTTGTGTCTTCTACTTATAAGGAGGGAGTGAGGTGCTCACTAAGTGTCCTAGGACCAGGGTGGGTTTATGGGTTTATTTTTTTTGAGACAGTCTTGCCCTGTTGCCCAGGCTGGAGTGCAGTGGTGCGATCATGGCTCACTGTAGCCTTGAACTCCTGGGCTCAGGTGATTCTCTGGCCTCTGCCTCCCAAAATGCTGGGATTACAGATGTAAGCCACTGTGCCTGGCCCTAGGACTAGACTTTTAAAGTCATCACCCCGATGCAGCACCGACCTGCCCCTTTTTATGATGGAAGAAAAGAATCTCTGGCATAAGCCGTGAAGCGGAAGGTCTGAGAAAGGCTTCACGAGGCTGCAGAAGCCAGTTATTAATGGCTGTGGGGTTGAGGAAGGAAGTGTGGGCCCACGTTGACAGTGTGTGTTTAAGATACTGTACCTGCGAAGATGCTGAGGATGTGTTCCTGCTTCCCTTACTCTCCATCACCAGGTGCGTTACCTGTTGGAGTGGACAGAGGAGGACCTGGAGGATGCGGAGGACACTGTCAGTGCAGCAGACCTCGAATTCTGTCACCCCTTGTGCCAGTGCCCTAAGTGTGCCCCAGCCCAGAAGGTTCGGCTTTGTTTCTGTTGGTGGCGGTCAGAGAACAGAGGCAATTTTTTATTTTTTTTTGAGACAGGGTCTCGCTGTGTCACCCAGGATGGCGTGCAATGGTAGTCATGGCTCACTGCAGCCTCAGCCTCCTGGGTTCAAGTGTTCCTCCCACCTCAGTCTCCTGACTAGCTGGGACCACAGGCATATACCACCACACCTGGCTAATTTGTTTCTTTTTGTAGAGACTGGGCCTTTCTGTGCTGCCCAGGCTGGTGTCTCAGCCTCCCAGCCTCAAGTGATCCTCCCCGCTCAGCCTCCCATGGTGCTAGGATTACAGACGCGAGCCACTGCTCCCGGCCAGCAAATTCCTCCTTTTCCCCTCAGGAAAGTTCTCTGCTTCTCAGCCAGATAATTACTGTACTGAGTGGCTGTGAATGGGTATTCCCCAAGATATGGTGGGACTCATTAGCCAAGGGTGGATGCCAGCTTCCTGCACGGCAGGTAAGTGAGCAGGGACGTGTCTCGTGCTTAGCATTTTGGCGGCTATCTGGGTCCCTGAGTCCCATGGCAGGAGCTTATGAACAGATGCTTGAGGGTCTCCTTCCAGGTACCCAGAGGCCCCCAGGGAAGCGGCACACATGTTCTGCTGCGTTTTCTCAGGTGAGTTCACTCTTTGTAGGGACTCCCCTCCTCCAAGTGCAGATAAATCCCCACACCCTCTCCCAGCTTCCCCCAGGAGTAACATCCTTGCAAAACTATGGTGCGGAATCACAGCCAGGATATCGACACTGATGCAATCCGTGGATCTTAATTCACATCTCCCCAGGTCTGCTTGTTCTCATTGTGTGTGTGTGTGTGTGTGTGTGTGTGTGTGTGTATTCTGTACAGTTGTGTCACATGTATAGGTTTGTGTATCAACCATCACTTTCAAGATATTTTCTGTGACAGGTACTTCTTTTACATTCCTTGTTCTTTTTTTTTTTTTTTTTTTAAACAAGGACTTTCACTCTGTTGCCCAAGCTGGAGTACAGTAGTGTGATCTCAGCTCACTGCAAACTCTGCCTCTCTGTTTCAAGTGATTCTCCTGCCTCAGCCTCCCGAGTAGCTGGGACTACAGTACCCACCACCACTCCCGGCTAAGTTGTTTATTTTTACTAGAGATGGGGTTTCACCATGTTGGTCAGGCTGGTCTCAAACTCCTAACCTCAAGTGATCCACCCACCTCAGCCTCCCAAAGTGCTGGGATTACAAGTGTGAGGTACCGCACTTGGCCTTGTTCTTTTACAAACTCTTATTCTGGTTTTGTAGTGTCTCAAAAAGACACAACACTAAACTGCTTTATATCCATGATTAAATGAAAACCTACCCCGCCATTCTTTTCTAGCCCAGTGTTCTAGAATTTGTTGTTAAATCCTTTACTGAAGCATATTTCACAGACTATATGTATTTATATAATTGGGTGAGCTTTCACAGATGTAAAACCTGTGGCGCCATCACCACCAACAAGACACAGCATGTCTCCATCTCCTGCGAGCACAGCTCTCTCACCACAAGATGAGTCCCTCAAGCTGCCCTTTTACAGCCACACCCACCCCTCTCCCTGCCACACCCATCCCACCATCAGCAACCCCTGGCAGCGACTAACCTGTTCTCCATTTCTCTAATTCTGTCACTTCAAAAACGTTACGTAAATGTAATCACACAGTATACGTATGACTTTCTGGGATTCGCTTTGTTCGTTCCCAACAATCAAACTTTGTTTGATTCCAAGTTGTTGCATAGAATCAGGTTTGTACCCTGATGGCAGGGTGGCATTCCGTTTGTTTAATGGTGACATGTACTCACTGTGGAATGTCCAAGGACATGTGGTTTGTGGCAGGTTTGGGGGATGTTATGTCAAACTGCCATGAACAAACATTCGAGTAGACGTTTTGGTAAGAACACAAGTTTTCATCGTTATAGGATAAATGCCCAAGAGTGCAATTGCAGAGTCATATGGTAACTTAATGGTAATTCCATGATTTGTTTTTATAAGAAACTGACAGTCTTTTCCCAAGTAGGCTGTATCGTTTTACGTGCCCACCAGCGAGGTATGAGTGATCCAGTTTTGCCATGTCCTCCCCAGCAGTGGGCGTTGTCACTGTTTTGTTTTAAATCTTTTTTTATGTAAAGTATACATATTTAAGTATATAATTTGGCAAGTTTTACAGACGTATAAACCTGTGAAACCATCACCACCATGAAGATACAAACGTTTCCCTCATTGCAAGAGTTTCCTGTGAGATTTTGCAGTCCCGCCCCACCCTCCCCCACTCCCCCTGACATGCTTTTCATCATCATGGATTGGTTAGCACTTTCTAGAATCTGTGTAAGTGGAATTACATTAAGCATGCCCCTTTTTGTGTCTGACTACTTTCACTTAGGATGTTTTCGAGGCCCATGTTGGATCAGTTCATTGCTGGGTAGTAGTACTTGATTGAATGGACACACCAGAATTTGTTGATTCATTCACCTTTTGACAGACGTCTGAGCAGTTTTCCTGCTTCTGGCTTTGTAAATAAAGCCATTGTGAACATTTGTGTACAAGCTGTTTGTGGATATATGCATTCTTGGGTAAACACCTAGGAGTATAATTGCTGGATTATATAGTAAGGATATGTCTAACCTTATAAGAAACTGCCACTTTTCCAAAGTGAAGTAGTTTCTGTTCCCTCCAGCAGGGTGTGAGCTCCACATCCCTGCCAACACTTGGTATTTTGACTTTTTTTTTTTCTTTTTGGGGAGATGGAGTCTTGCTCTGTTGCCCAGGCTGGAGTGCAGTGGTGAGATCTCAGCTTACTGCAACCTCCACCTCCCTGGTTCAGACGATTCTGCAGCCTCAGTGCACACCTGTAATGTAGCTGGGATTACAGGTAGGCACCACCACACCCGGCTAATTTTTGTATTTTTGGTAGAGATGGCGTTTCACCATGTTGGCCAGGCTGGTCTAGAACTCCTGACCTTAGTTGATCTGTCCACCTTGGCCTCCCACAGTGCTGGGATTACAGGCATGAGCCACTGCACCTGGCCTTGATGTTTTAACTTCAGCTATTCTGATAAGTATGCAGGGTATTTCATTTCATGTGTGTGGGTATGTGTGTGTGCACGTGTATGTTTTCCCGCTTGTTTTTGATTGGTGAGTTATAATTTACATATGGTAAAATTCAGCCTTTAATTTAGCATACAGGTTTTTTGTAAGTGGTAACATTTTTAGTCATCAAAAAGTAAAAGTACTCGCACCTAAACCCAAGAATCAGTTTCTTGTAGCGGTGGTTTAAACAGAGGTGCAAGTAGCAAGTGAACCTCGTTGCCTTTGAGGGCCTGCGGCCATGCCCCTCAAAGTGAATTTGGAGGTTCTACATCACTGGTGAAAAAAAAAAGTGAAATTAGCCGGCACAGTGGCATACACTTGTAGTTCCAGCACTTTGGGAGTCTGAGGTGGGAGGACCACTTGAGCCTGGGAGTTCAAGACCAGCCTGGGCCACATGGCGAGACCCCATCGCTACAAAAAAAAAAAAAAAAGAAAGAAATTTAGCTGTACACAGTGGCTTGCACCTGTGGACCTAGCTTCTTGGGAGGCTGAGGTGGGAGGATCACGTGAGCCCAGGTGGTTGAGGCTGCAGTGAGCCATGATCATGCCATTGCGACAGAGTGAGACCCTATCTCAAAAAAAGAAGTTATTCTTTGGCATACCATGCACTTCTAAAGGAATGGGAATCCATCTGGGATCCCACCATGATCCCATATTTTATGTAGGAGCCATGGGGCGGGGGGCACATGGTGCCAGTCACTCCGGCCCAGTTGCTTGAATACTGATGAGGTTTCTGTTTCCATCTTCTGCACTTCCCAGAAGCTGGCGAAGGTTCCTGCCAGTGGGCTTGGTGTGAACGTGACCAGCCAGGATGGCTCTTCCCCGCTGCATGTCGCTGCACTGCATGGCCGGGCGGACCTCATCCCCCTCCTGCTGAAGCACGGGGCCAACACAGGTGCCAGGAACACAGACCAAGCCGTCCCGCTCCACCTGGCCTGCCAGCAGGGCCACTTCCAGGTTCGGGCCCTGCGTCACAAGCCACAGAGCAGGGTTTCTGCTTTCGGCTAGGACCTTGGTGGGAATGCTGCAGGGGTGTGGTGGATACTGCTCTCCTGAGCCCTGAGATTCTGAGGTACACATGGTAGGCCACTCAGCCTTAGGGCACAGAGCCCTGGTGCTCCCTGGGGATGGAGCCAGCCTTCCTCCCACTGCCACTCCCATCTGGGTGGTGCCAAGGTTGTCATTCTAATTCTGCACCCAGCAGGAGCTGGCTCTTGAGTTTGTGTAGTGGCCACCGAGGAGTGTCCCCAGGGTCATCTTACACCTTTACACCTCAACAGAGCTTGCTGTGGGCAATACATTTCAAAACTTCATAAGAACAGCCAACACCCCACAGAGGGGCTCAATGGAGAATTTTGGAGTGATTAGCTTTTTGAAAGTTCTTTCTTTGCCTTTTATTTTTCTTTTGAGACGGGGTCTTGCTCTGTCTCCCAGGCTGGAGTGCAATGGTTCAGTCTCGGCTCACATCACAATGTAGCCTCAACCTCCTCGGCTCAAACAATCCTCCCATCTCAGCCTCCCTAGTAGCTGGGACTACAGGGGTGCACCACCACACTCAGATAAGTTTTTATTTTTGTGTGGAGATGGGGTTTCACCATGTAGTCTAGACTGGTGTTGAACTCTTGGACTCAAGTGATCCTTCCATCCTGGCTTCCCCAAGTGCTGGGATGACAGGCATGAGTCACAGCACCCAGCCCTGTTTTCCTTTAAGGAAAACTGTGAGAATGTTTTTCATTTTCCTTTATCATTTCTACTGTTAACTTAAGACAGGGCCATATGTCAGGTCTTGCATCTCTCTCCAACACTTAGCATAGAGCTTCAGGCATCTTTTTTAACCTGGAAAATTGGTGTGGCGATTGCAGCTCTCCCTGGGGTAGAAAGGATAGAAAGGTGAAGTGAGGTCAGTAAACCCTTGGCAAAACCAGTGTCAGAGCCCTTGGGACTGCATCCCGGATGCCAAGGCACTGTCCGTTCACATCGGAGAACTCTGTGTGGGAAGGCGCACACTGCCCGCACAGAGCAGCCCCGCAGCAGACACTAGCCCTCCTCTCCTCACCTGGTCCCTTTTCTTCTGAGGACCTAAAGAGTCTTAATAAGCTCAGAGACTGCTGGGTGTGGTGGCTCACGCCTGTAATCCCAGCACTTTGGGAGGCCGAGGCCAGCAGATCACCTGAGGTCAGGAGTTTAAGGCTAGCCCTGCCAAAGTGGTGAAACCCCCTCTCTACTGAAGATACAGAAAATTAGCCAGGTGTGGTGGCATGCCTGTAGTCCCAGCTGCTCGGGAGGCTGAGGCACAAGAATTGCTTGAACCTGGGAGGCAGAGACTGCAGTGAGCTGAGATCATGCCACCGCACTCCAGCCTGAGTGACAGAGTGAGACTCTGTCTAAAGATAATAAACCCAAACCAAAAAAAAAAAAAAGCTCAGAGACAAGTCGAAAGAATATAAAATTTGTGGATTTCTCTCCAGAAATTTTGTTTTATTTTTTTTCGTAATTTTTCTCCAGCGGGAAACGACAGAAATTTTGATTGTTTGCTTTTCTCTGGTGTAGGTGGTGAAGTGTCTATTAGACTCGAATGCAAAACCCAATAAAAAGGACCTCAGTGGAAACACGCCCCTCATTTATGCCTGCTCTGGTGGCCATCATGAGGTTGCTGCACTGCTGCTACAGGTGAGGCCCCTCTCCACCCCCTGGCTGACACACCTGCACCAGTTAGCCTCCACCCAGTGATCCCTGCAGTGCACTTGGGATGGAGAGACTGGGCCACCCATCAGCCCCGGGTCTCTGGGGAGAAGAGCGTGGCAGGTGCCTTCCCATGCAGGGCTCTCCGATGGGAATGGACAGTGCCTTGGTATCCGGGATGCAGTCCCAAGAGCTCCGGTGCTGGTTTTGCCAAGGTTTTGGGTCTCACCTTACTGAGGATGTGTCACACTGTCACCTGAGCAGGGGCTGAGTGGCCACCTCTGTCCCTGCTGCTAGATTAGAATTTCTTAAAGATGTAGGGAAAAACCAACTCGTCCATGACTCTCCCACTCAAGGGAAACTCATTTTGGTGGACTTTAAAAAATGTGTATACTTTCAGTGTGGTTTTCTTTTTTTTCTTTTTGAGATGCAGTCTTGCTTTGTTGCCCAGGCTGGAGTGCAGTTGTGCAATCTCGGCTCACTGCAACTTCCTCCTCCCAGGTCCAATCGATTCTCCTGCCTCATGCTCCCAAGTAGCTGAGACTACAGGCATGTGCCACCACACCCAACTAATTTTTTTTTTCTATTTTTAGTAGAGACGGGGTTTCACTGTGTTAGCCTCGGCTTCCTGAAGTGCTGGGATACAGGCGTGAGCCACCGTGCCCGGCCTTTTTGTTTTTTGAGACAAGGTCTTGCTCTGTGGCCCAGGCTGGAATGTAGTAGCACCCTCATGGCTCAGTGCAGCCTTAGCCTCCCAGGCTCAGGCCATCTTCTTGCCTTAGCCTGCCAGGTAATTGGGACTACAGGTATGCACCACTGCACCTAATTTTTGCTGTTTGTTTTTAGTAGAGATGGGGTCTCACTATGTTGCCCAGGCTGGTCTCAAACTGCTGTGCTCAAATGATCGATCCTCTTGCCTCAGCCTCCTAAACTGCTGCATTACAGGTGTAAGCCATGGCTCCTCACCAAGCTTTCTCCTCCCCTCCCGTCCGCTTTTTCCAAAATGGAGTCTTGCTTTGTCATCCAGGCTGGAGTGCAGTGGTGCGATCTTGGCTCACTGCAGCCTCTGCCTCCAAGGTTCCAGTGATTCTTCTGCCTCAGCCTCCCAAATAGCTGGGACTACAGGCGCCCAACATCATGCCCGGCTAATTATATTTTTTCCTAGTAGAGATGGGGTTTCACGATGTTGGCCAGGCTGGTCTTAAACTCCTGACCTCAGGTGACCTACCTGCCTCGGCCTCCCAAAGTGCTGGGATTACAGGTGTGAGCCACTGCGCCCAGCCGCAAGTATTGTTTTCTGTCTTCTTGTTATTTAATGTAGAAACCTGTTCATTCAAACCTTGATTTTTAATGGTTGCATAACCATGGATATCCATAGTGATTTTTTTTTAACCTGTTTCTGCTCTGCACATTTAAGTAGCTTCTGTTTTCTCTATTAGGATAAATGCTACAGCAAACACTTTGTCTATAAATCTTTTTTCTTAGTTTTAGTTTTTTCCGCCAAATTTTAAGAAAACTTTCAGACATAAGTTGAATGTGTTTACAGCGAATACCTGTGCGCCCACAGCCAGATTCCATGCTGATGTTTCATAGCACTCCTTTTGATCATGCGCTTTCTCTTTCCAGCATGGGGCCTCCATTAATGCGTCTAACAATAAGGGCAACACAGCGCTGCATGAGGCTGTGATTGAAAAGCATGTCTTCGTGGTAGAGCTGCTTCTGCTCCACGGAGCGTCAGTTCAGGTGCTGAACAAGCGGCAGCGCACGGCTGTAGACTGTGCCGAACAGGTAGGTGGAAAGGGTCAAAGAGCTGAGGGCATCCTGAGCTCCTCACAGCTCTCTCTGGTTCCCTTGTGTTTAAACTACATCTGAAATAGCAACAGCCGGCCCTTAGTATCACTGGACTGGGTGTAGTTGGTGTTCCAGAAGTCTCCAACATGGATTGATGGCTGGTCCTCGGTCCCCTGGTCAGAGGTGGCTCTCTGGGAACCAGGAATCATTCTTTCATGGGTGGATTTCCTATTTTTTTCTTTTTTTGAGATGGAGTCTCACTCTGTCACCAGGCTGGAGGGTGGTGGTGTGATCTTGGCTCACTGCAACTTCTCCCTCCCAGGTTCAAGCAATTCTTCTGCCTCAGCCTCCTGAGTAGCTGGGACTACAGGTGCGTGCCACCACACCCAGCTAATTTTTATATTTTTAGTAGATATTTATTATATATATTTTATAATTTTTATATTTTTAGTGTATTTTTCATCATATTGGTCAGGATGGTCTCAATCTTTTGACCTCATGATTCAGCCTCCCAAAGCGCTGGGATTAAAGGCGTGAGTCACTGTGCCTGGCTCACGGGTTGTTTTCAAAGGCCTGAGTGTAGGGGCTGCCCTCAGCCACTAATAGGGCCGTGGTCCAGTAGTTACGTAGAGTCTGGCACTCAAGGGGAAGGAGCAAGTCATGACGTTCTGGCTGCACCATTCCTGAAGCATGAACTCAGCTGTTGTCTTAGCAGCATGATGGAAAAGGTCTGTTTAGTTGGTGGATTTGAAACTCCTTGAGGCCAGGTGCAGTGGCTCATGCCTGTAATCTTAGCACTT